TTATAAAGTAGGGAAGTAACTTTAGAAAATTTACAAAGCAGAGTTACAGCAAACCCCTCCTGCCCACCATGAATGCTGGAACGCCCACTAGTGGGCATTCCAGCTTTCATGGTGGGCGGTAGGGGTTTGCTGTAACCCTGCTTTATAAAGTAAAGTTACTTCCCTACTTTATAAATCACCATGACTGTGGAACCGGTGGGCGGTTAGAAAGTTTTACTACTAACAGAGATACAAAAGTGGGCGGTAGGTATAAAAAGGTTGACTACCCCCGGGCTAGACTAGCAAAATTAAAGTAAATAAAAAGATACAGACAAGGAATTTTAACTTAAAAGAATATTAGGAGTAAAAAACATAAAGACTGTCATAAATAAAACTAAAAAGATCAGATCACAGAAAATAATCTAATCCACAAAGAACATACAAAAGTAAGATTGCCTTAAATTCCTTCTTAAAATATTGTAGAATTAAATGCACGGATGTGCCAAAATAAATATGTGTACAATATATCCTATCTTTGCATTCTAGAACTATTTTTATTTTAAAAAGCACCCCAAAATACTCAAAAATTGCAATAAATTTTGCTCCTTTCATTATTTCTTATTATTTATCTAAACTACAATCTCAAAATCTATAACGTGTAATGATATTTAGTGGTAAAAGAATGCAGATAATTTTCTTGCTAATTTCACCCAAAATTAATTAATAATCAATTAATTATTACACAGAGACAATCTGAAATAGATTAACATATTCTATGTCTTTCTAAGCTTACATCAGAAATAAAAACTCATATCACATAGATCAGTCTAACAGAAAAGAAGCTAAATAAAAGATCAGTGGTGAAGGCAGAAGAAAACAATCACTGCCTTTTCCACTGTGCTTCTTTCATTAGCTTTATTGAGGATGGTTATTGAGGCTGGCCAGATGGCACAGCCTCTCAGTAGCACAAGAAAGGTCACCAGAAAAACTAAGTAGCCTTGGGGGGAAAATATTTTTTGTCTGGGTGAACTGAGTCTCAGTCTGCTATTGTAATTAGATGTAACTGTAGTCAACATTATCTTTCTATTTTTTTAAAAAAATGTAACTTATTTTTACTTGATTGAAATACTTTTTAAGTTCACAGAAAATATGAATCAAAAGTCGCTCATCACCAGAAATGTATTTCAAGAGAGGAAAACCCATCAGTTTGAAGGTTGTGTCCCAAACAGAAATGTTCATAATTCATCATTAAAAAGACAAAATTAAAAAAAATACAAATACAAGTACAAGTACTCTTCGACAACAACAGTTCATTTAGTGACCATTCAAATTTACAACAGCACTGAAAAAAGGACTTATGACCATTTTCCACACTTTTGACCATTGCAGAATCCCCATGGTCACATGTTTACATTTGGATGCTTGATAACTAGTTAATATTTATAACAGTTGCAGTGTCCCGGGATCATGTGATAATCTTTTGTGACCTTCTGACAAGCAATGGGGAAGCCAGATTCAATTAACAACTGTGTTATTAATTTAACAACTGCAATGATTCACTTTACAAATGTGGCAAGAAAAGTGGTAAAGACTCACTTAAGAAATTTCTTACTCAGCAACATAAATTCTGAGCTCAATTGAGGTCATAAGTCGAGGACTACCTGTACCGAAGCAATCTAAAAGTCATTCATTCATAAGACAACTGCACTGAGCAATAAGCCACTTTTATTAATATTAAAATTCACAATAAAGCACAAAATAAAGGTAAATTGAAAACATTTAATGACAAGAAATTTATATATCATATACAATAGCAGAACATACCTTCCGTCCATATGGCCAGTTGTAGCTGGAGAATACTTTACTTCATAACATAATGTTTCTTTTGGTTCAAGAACAAGCTTATTTTCACCATGAAGTATAATAGCATCTATTAATTCTACATCTAATTCCAGAACATCATCTGTGGGATTAGTTATTGGAATTCCAATTTCAATAGTATTCTAAGAGAGACAAAAGGAGAGATATCTTCAAACATTAGTAAAATGGCAGATAAATAATGTTCATTTGAAATTCTCTACATAGAATTTCTTCTAGATTCCTTTCAGGGACGTGCAGTCACTAGAGGCAGGGGAGGCGGGGCCTCACCAGTCTCCTGGGGGAAAGGAAGAATTTTAAATAATATTTTTTAAATAATTANGCAATTTGTGTATATTCTTGTGGTCAGTATTGACTTCTACGGGAAAGCCTGTGCCTTTTAAGAAGCATCTCCAATGTTGGAAAGCTGATTTAGCAATAAGGAGTTCTTCATTAATGTCATGTCTGGGGCAGCCAGGGCTCTGGGAAAGAAGGTGTATGGCAGAAGGCTGTTTTCTCCTTCCCTCTCTTGTAAGAAAACAGGTTCAATGGCTACATTTGTTTGAACAATAAATTTGTTTAGGTGGGAACTTCATCACTGGAAGCTTTCAAGAAGAGACTGGACTGCCATCTATCAAAAATGGTGTAGGTTCTGCTTGGGTGCAGGGTTGGACTAGATGACCTACAAGGTCCCTTCCAACTCTGTTAATCTGTACCTGTATGTTCCATGTGTCTAGGTGCTAAAGGAGGGGCTGGTGGGCAAAAAGCTGCTTTAACCCTTTGAATGCTGCTTGGTATGTAGGAGTCCAAGCAAATTTAAGCCCTTTCTTAGTCAATTGGGTGAGTGGCTTGGCTCTACAAGCAAAACGGGGTATAAATTTCCTGTAAAAATTAGCAAAGCCCTGGAAACATTGAATGTTTTGGACCTTGTGGGGGTCCATTTGAATGTCTTTTGGGATAATAAGGTAACCCAAGAAGTCTACTTGTTGCAAGTCAAAAGGACATTTTTCTAGCTTGGCAAAAAGATGGTTTATCTTTTAGTTTATGGAAAACAGCACATCAGAAGTGGGTTTCCTACCAAACCTGTAGTGGTTTGGCAGCCTGGGTCGCTGGCACCAGCAGCGACCCAGGACTGCCACACTCCTGAGCTAGTTCGCTTACCACCTTGGGTTTGGTTCTGCGCATGCCAGAGCAATTTTTATTGCACTGGCTGGCCATGCCTCTGCCCACTCCAACATGTGCCCTGCCTCGCCTTTGCCATGTGGATCCACAGAATGGCCTCCTCCTGCCTAGACACAGATAAGCAGCATTCGTGCTATCCTAGCCCCCACTCCCCGCAGGCTGCAATCCAGGCTCCGCCTGGTCAACTAGGTGGCTGGCAGGGAAAGCGGCAAGCGAGCAGGCAGGCGGGCAGGCGGGAGGGACTGGCCTGGCCTCCAGTGCTTCCTCCTGCAGGGGCAGCAGCGGTGAGTGGTAAGAGAGGCTTCCCTGCTTCCTTCCACCGAGAGGCAGCTTGGGGACAACCAGCCTCCCCCGCCGCTGTGCCCTTCCCTTCACATGAAGCCTCTGCCAGCAGGGCACCTCCCATTTCACCCGAAGCACATCACCTCCCTGCCGCCACTGCTTCTACAGTGCCAAACGGTCCATGCCCCCCCCCACCAGTGGTGGGTTCCAGGTTCCATACCGGTTGGAACGGCCTCAGCATCACCCACATGCACTGCATCACACGCATGTGTTGTAGCTGGAAACAAGCCTCCATTACGCTCAGTCACTGTATGCGCATGGGCGTGCGCAGAGGCGCCGACAGCTTTAAAACACGGTAAGGAGTGCGGACATGCAGGTAGGCCCTCTGGAGCACCATACTGGAACAGTATTCGGTCCTCCGGGCTGTCTCTGTTACGCCTGTACTGGGGCGTACCGCCTTCAACCCCCCACTGCCCCCCCCCATCACGCTTGCCTCGGTGCGAGGCGAACGCGGCTGGGGAGAAATCGGGGATGGGGAGGGTCTGGAGGCTAGCTATATCACATGATGAATGCTTGATATATCTAGCTTATCAAAGAGAAGGATAGGGGGTGGGACATGATCATTGTCTTCCAGTAACTGAGGGGCTGTCACAGAGAAGAGGGGATTGTCTTACTTTCCAAAACACCAGATATTATGTGGAAGTCGATTAGAGATTCAGCCTAGAAGTAATGGGAAATTTTCTAACAGTGAGAACAATTAATCAATTGGAGCTTCAACTTTTAATTTTACAGAGTTCCAAATAAATTATATACTTTCTATGGTAATTAGTTTGTACACTTCATTTCATTTTCTTCATCCGTTCATAATTTTTACATGTACATTTTACATGTGGCATTCCAGGTTCAGTCCATTGCAGATCTAGCCAAAGTATCTGAGATACTAAATGTGGGAAACCTTAGATGCCTGTAGTTAGACAAAACAAATGTCGGTATGGATAAGTCAAAATACTTTTATACAATCAGATGTGACAAGATTTGTTGTCTAAAACTGCCCCCCTCAATCTTGTATCCAAGAGATATCATGAGGTTTTTTAACTACCGGTATTTGGTGGGCCAACAACACAGATGCTTAGACAACACTCACAAGCACTCACATACTCACAGAGTATTAGTCCTTACTCACCATTTCACCCTCTTCTCCACTCCTCCCCACTGCCATTACTATTGCTACTCCTTGCCAGAACTGCTAGAGAGGCTGTCAGAAGAATAATTTGGGGTTCCAACTCGAGCCGGGGTTGCACAAGAATGAATAAAAATGAGATCCAGACAGTGTGAGAGAAGAAGAAATATTTATTCCTAAAAGCAAAACAGTTTGCTCTTAAGGGCAGGATGCTCAGAAATGGGATACAGTGGCAAACTTTTATAGGGGGAGCTTGTACGTACTAATTCTAAGGTGACAGTTGAGGAGTGTGTGTGTGTTTGTGTGTAGATAATTAACTGTTGTGTTTGCAGACCTTATCCTTTGCTATATGGATTAGGCCTGGGTAAGTTATTTCAAGGTTTTTGGAAATTTGCTAATTTAATTAAGTTGGAGACACTGATTCTCAGACCATTGTAGATTCTGTTAATATTTTAAGGGAAGATGGAAACGGTTTCAATAATAAAATATATTTGGAGAAAAATTTTCTCATACCTTCCACACACAAACACCCCACTCCTACCCACCACCACACATACCCTCAGTTATTTCACAGCACAAGGAAAACTTATTTTGCAAGGGGGGGATGCTGTCGCTTTAAATTGGAACTGACAATGCCTGGCTGTGGAATTCTGGGAGTTGAAGTCTACAAGTCTAAATAAATTTGAAACTCCTGTGTCAGTGCCTCACCAGCTATAAACCTCACCACATGTCACTGCCATCTCCATTCTACTACAGTTAAAGAGGGATCTGACAATTCCCCTTTGCTGAAATTTTCCCAGCTAATGCAGTTATTTCAGCCAATACTCTCCACTGAGATCTCAAGGAAGAGAATTAAAACCCAAGTCTTTTTCCTCCCAGCCCAGCCCAGGTCTGATGCGGAATATTTTGTGGCCAAGAGCAAACTGATCAGGGGATTTATAATGAGAACTCAGCTGAGTATCCTATTCAAAATTATATGCTTCTGCAGAAACAATATAAACATCTTTCACAAAATAAGAAAAAAGAATTCTCTAGGACTACCTGGCAGCAATTAAGCATCTCAAGACAGAAATTCCACTCTGTTTTGCTATCNGTGCAGACTTCCTAAAAGCGAACGTTTGCGATTTCTATATATGAACAGCTAAAGCTTAATAACATGAGACCCTAGTTTGGTTCAGGCTTGAGGCCTACTCTGGTTCAGCCTGCTCTCTCATTACAACCTTGAGCTCTCCACAAGAATTTGAATTAATAACTGCCAAAGCAAACTGGCGGTAGATAAGAACCAATGGAATTCAAGCTGGGCTGAACTTAGATCTCTTAAAAGCATGAAGGGACTGATGCAGGGGTGGGTTTCAGCCGGTACGGACTGGTAGGGGCATACGGGTTGGTGAAATTTAGCATGTCTTAGCGTACCCGTTCTTCCGGAGGCCCCGATAAGCCCAAGTGGTGTGCGCTGCCTTCTTCTTTTTGATAGCCACCTCGTTTCCAATGAAGGTGGTGGGGAATCCAGGCAGAGGGAGGAAATTGCATGGATTCCCCACCCCCTTCATTGGAAACAAGGCGGCTGTCAGAGGAGAGAGCAGTGCGCACCTGTGGGCTTGTCCAACGAATCCTTGCCTCCTGTTCCTTCTTCGCCTGTTTGAAGAAGCCACGTGGGGCGCCTTCCCTTGTCTTTCATAGTCACCTCATTTCCAATTGGGGGATATCCATGCAGAGGGAAGAAAAACATGGATTTCTTCCACACACACACCCCCAATTGGAAGTGAGGTGATTCCAGCAGCTGCATTTTGCCTTGAAACTTGCTGTTCCAGCAACCCGAAGGGGACATTCTGCCAGCAGCATCTCAGGTGCTCCCACCCTTAGCCAGGAGGGACTAAGGACGGCTGGGTGCAGTTTGACTCCTCCCGGCTCCCCTCAGATCATTGTGGGGCCTCACAGGCCTGCTGGCTCATGTGGCCTGGGTTCTTCTAGTGGGAATGGGAAACACAGGACTCTTAATGTAGCAGGGAGCTGGCGAGGCTCTGCACAGCCAGAGATGACTCCAGAGCCCATCCACAGGGGACTATGGGGGCCTTGTCCTTCTGAAGAGGACCTGCCAAAGATGGCCTGTCCTCGTAGAGGGCAGATGTGGTGGCATCGGTCTTGGGATGTTCTGCNGAAAATTTAGGCCGGGAAAGAACCACATACAATATTTCAAGAAGCATTTATACTTTATTTGAATATATATATATAAGGAACAACAAGCTACTTAGATAGGAAACACATATTGTCCGTACACTGATGACAAAGAATTGACCATTCCTTGCTTGAATGTTCTCGGGCGTGTGGCAGAAATGATCTTGTGAAGGTAATTTGGGGATTCAGAAGAACTATAAAAAGGATCCTCAAAGCAAGGTAAGGGGGACATTTGGGCTCTTATCATTCTGAGCCTCTCAATCTAGGATTCTTTGCTTCTCATGGTTTGGGGGAGGGGATGTATTAGTATTTGATTTTTTAAAAAAA